CTCAGAGCTGAAGCCAGAGAAGTACAGCCTTCCTCTGTGATCAGACAGCCTGACAGACTGCAAACACACCACACAACAATCCATCCATAAACACTTGACTTATATTTTCTTCATTTTTTCAGTTTAATTCTGCTTTATTTATAGTAGGACAATTTTCTTTAGTTGTCTTTTGTAATAATCCACATCTATTTTCGGAAATTCTGGGAATTAGATGCAGTGTGTGCAAAATTGTAAATTTTGGTATCGATCTGATATAAAGTAAACAAAGGGCTTGTGTTCCCTGAACCGATACCAATAACAATACATATACCTTTAACTTGATTTATAAGTGCACCTTATACATCAATCAGGCACAATATTAGGACCACCTGCCTAACATTGGGTTGTTTCCCCAATGTCCCTTGGCATACTGCTTGATGTCATCCACGTAGAAGAGGTGGTTAATAATTGCGTCATTCCATGCCTGGCATCTGTAGCCAGTAATTGATAATCTGATTGAGGGGGTTCAGACCCATGCAGAACAGGACTGAGCTGCTGTTCTCATATTGTTCCCCTGCCAGTAACAGCACACCTGATGGTTCACTGGAGAACAGCTGGTTTATTCTACTGGCTTCTATCCCTCTTGTATACCTCTTTAGGCAGTTAGCCAAAGCTGTGAATCTTTGCTCGGAGAGCCCATAGAAAAAGACTTTCAGACTGCCTCAAAGAGATTCTGGCAACCTCTCAGGTGACTCAAGATGGGAAAGCTTATTTAAACTGAGGATATTGTCAAGTGTCATGGTCCTGGGTTATTCTATGCAGTGTTTTTGAGTTTTATTGTATTTTCTGTCATTTTGTATTATATTTAAGTCATGTTGTTATTCTATGGGTTTATTCTATTGTTCCTAGGTTATTCTGCTTAGTTTGGTTTATTAGATTTCCCCTTGTGTCTTTGCCCTCAGTGTCTCCCCCTGGGTGTCTGTGTTTATACAGTGGTGTGAGTCCTTGTGCCTTTTTTCTCTCCTTGTGTTTTATTCCATCTTGTTTCTCCAGCCCGTCATGTCTGCCTCTCTCCTTCGTTCCCTCTCGTCTGTCTCTCCTCCACTCGTATCTCGTTACCTGTTTTATTGTGAAGGTCTTGTGTTTCCATGTACGTTCAGTCTCGCTATGATTATCCATGTCAGCTGTGTTCCCCGTGTGCTCCCACATCCCCTTTTATCTTTCTGTGTATTTATGTCAGCGTCTCCCTCAATTCCGTGTCGCAGTCTCCCTCATACCAATCTGTCTGTTCTGCCTGCTAAGCCTGCCAAGTTTATTTTGTATATTCAAGTTTAGTTTTTTCTCGTGTACAGCAATAAAGCTGCCTTTTTGAGTTTAAGTTTCATCTCCGCGATTCCGTCTAAATTTTGAGTCATTTCCTGCCTGCCTGCACAGCAGAATATTGGAAAGAATACTTCGAGGACCTCCTTAATCCCACTGACATGTCTTTCATAGAGGAAGCAGAGTCTGGGGATAAGGGGGACGACTCCTCCATCACGAGGCATTAGGTCACTGAGGCAGTTAAACAAATCTTTGATGGCCAAGCCCCTGTACTGGATGAGATTTGCCCTCTACAATTTGCTTCTACAATGTTGCATGCAGATCAGGGGTAGTACCTTTGGATTGGCAGCCTGGGGTACTGAACAAGTGGGACCGGAGGGTGTGCTCCAATTATAGAGGGATCACACTCCTCAGTCTCACTGGAAAAATCTATGCCAAGGGGCTGGAAAGGAGAGTCCGTCTGGTAGTCGATTTCGAATACTGGAGTAACAATGTGATTTTCTTCCTAGTTACGGAACACTGGATCAGCTTTTTACCCTTTTAAGGATACTTGATGATGGATGGGAAAAGCATGGCTGTTTATCTATCTGTCTATCTATCATGATGATGATCAAGCAGGCAGGTGTGAACAAAAGATTAAAGTTCATAAAGATAAGTAGCAAACTAAATCGACAAAGCATAAACTAGCATACATACTGTAAATGTGGCACCAGAGGACATGGATGAAACGGGAAGGAGAATAGAAGAATACAATCACCAAGGATGACATCTGGTATGCAGAACCTCAGGGCATGAAGTTCGTGCTCCAAGCTATGTATGACATGCTACCCTGTCCAGCAAGCCTGCTTATCTGTGACAAGAGAAAGCATCCAACATGCCTCCTCCAAACATGGTGAGGGTACACTGCATATCTACAACAGCTACCCAAAAGCCCTTAGGGACAGTAAACAGGTCTGCAGTCAAAGAAAAATCTCCTTTTAATGGCTTACTGATGCCAGATATTCCTCTCTAAGACCTACAACTCTCTTGGCATCAGAGGAGCTGCAAAGAGGAAGGCCATCAAATCTGTCACTGAGGCTGCAAAAAGAGCCTTCAGGTGGATTTGCATTAATAGGTCCAAATCGTGGGCCAGTGCAGCTAGGACATAAGTCAAGGTCTGATCAGGCCTGACTGAGTCACCTAATCAAGGCTGTCTTAATGTTGCAAGGCCCAAAACACCCGATGACCTCAAGAAAAATCAATGACAATACATCTCAGCATATCTATGGATGTCTGTACAATATACTTTTTTTGGTATTCTAACTAAATGCAAAATGTAGCTTTTCTCTTAATTTTTCTGTAGTCCTAAATCTAACTCCTAACACTACAGTTCATAACAATGAAAGGATATTGGTATGCTATGAACACAAAATAGCCATAGATCTCTAAATGATCATTGCATAAATTTGATTTATTCAAACAAATCTAAAACAAAATTCACATATCAAACATTTTTAGATAGCAAGTCAGAATCTGATAATACATGTAAAAGGTTAATAAAAGGTAGTTTTAAATTTCTATAAGGGTTAGCTGTCTATGCAAAAATAATTATTCAGAAATTCAGATTTTTTTTAAATGAAAGTGGAAAAGTTTACTTACCGGAGAGTTTCCAGTGTACAACACAAACTCTTCAGTCCAGTAGAGAGAATCTTCACTCCTGAGTCCTGCAGGTTGTTGTTGCTCAGATCCAGCTCTCTCAGATTAGAGGACTGAGAGCTGAGAACTGAGGACAGAGCTTTACAACTTCTCTCTGAGAGGTTACAGCCACTCAGTCTGAAACACAATGACATTTGTGATTAAAAAAAAACAAAGCACTGTATGGTTTACCTATGACCTATTGTCTATGTGTTCAACTTGGCTATATGCAATGTATCAAGATTTCTGGCTCAAAACACTTTGGATTTCAAGGAGAAGGTGAGATATGCTACTACAGGGAGTGCAGAATTATTAGGCAAATGAGTATTTTGTCCACATCATCCTCTTCATGCATGTTGTCTTACTCCAAGCTGTATAGGCTCGAAAGCCTACTACCAATTAAGCATATTAGGTGATGTGCATCTCTGTAATGAGAAGGGGTGTGGTCTAATGACATCAACACCCTATATCAGGTGTGCATAATTATTAGGCAACGTCCTTTCCTTTGGCAAAATGGGTCAAAAGAAGGACTTGACAGGCTCAGAAAAGTCAAAAATAGTGAGATATCTTGCAGAGGGATGCAGCAGTCTCAAAATTGCAAAGCTTCTGAAGCGTGATCATCGAACAATCAAGCGTTTCATTCAAAATAGTCAACAGGGTCGCAAGAAGCGTGTGGAAAAACCAAGGCGCAAAATAACTGCCCATGAACTGAGAAATGTGAGATTTACAAGGAGGGAAAACAGTACACCTCTCTGAACAGTGTCTGGGAGGCTGTGGTTGCTGCTGCACGCAATGTTGATGGTGAACAGATCAAAACACTGACAGAATCCATGGATGGCAGGCTTTTGAGTGTCCTTGCAAAGAAAGGTGGCTATATTGGTCGCTGATTTGTTTTTGTTTTTTAATGTCAGAAATGTATATTTGTGAATGTGGAGATGTTATATTGGTTTCACTGGTAAAAATAAATAATTGAAATGGGTATATATTTGTTTTTTGTTAAGTTGCCTAATAATTATGCACAGTAATAGTCACCTGCACACACAGATATCCCCCTAAAATAGCTAAAACTAAAAACTACTTCCAAAAACATTCAGCTTTGATATTAATGAGTTTTTTGGGTTCATTGAGAACATGGTTGTTGTTCAATAATAAAATTATTCCTCAAAAATACAACTTGCCTAATAATTCTGCACTCCCTGTATTGAGATCATGGTTGATCATATTGCATCACCAATTTACCTGCCCTTACCTTCAGTTACCTCCAGTAATTTAAGTAGTGAAGGTAGTTTGAAAGAGATTACAGGATGACTCCACCTTAACAACAGGACCACTCTGAACAGTAGCCTGCTGAGTGTGTCTGCTCTTGTAGCCATCTTCAGGTCACATATTACGCATACCATGTGTGACTGCAACCATTCCCCAACTTTCTGTGAATTGTACTAATTACTTATTGATAAATGATCATGAAAATTTCTATATCAATGGTCCCGAAATTGACCTCATAACTCATTGTTGGTCCACTGTGATCATTTTGTTCATTATGGAAAAGTACTGTTTATAAAATTGTGGAAACATGTCAACTGAAACTAAGGAAGTCACTTGACTGACAAAACATCCCTTCCATGGAGAATCAGCTTTACAAGATTATAAGTTTAATTCAATTTTTCTTTTTTCTATTGTGCATACATGCTTTCCATGTGAGTGTGAATGGTTGTCTGTCTCTCTGTGCTAGCCCTGCGTTAGATTGGTGAAAACCAAAGAGTGTACCCTGCCTCTCGCCCTAAGCTAGATAGGGTAGGCCTAGAACATCCCCCCCCCTCCCCTCCCCATGACCCCAGTAAGGATAAGCAGAAGAAAATGGATGGATGGATGGATGGATGGATGGATGGATGGATGGATGGATGGATGGTGGTTTTCTATTAAGTAGAATCAACATTTCAAAACTAAAGCTATGATCACATATTTACTTACAGAGCTTGGTTGGAGGCTTGGACCACTGGCAGCAGCCTCAGAAGAGCCTCCTCTGAAGCAGAGTATTTCTTCAGGTCAAACACATCCAGATCTTCTTCTGATGACAGTAAGATGAAGACCAGAGCTGACCACTGAGCAGGAGACAGTTTATTTGTGGAGAGGCGTTCTGCTTTCAGGGACTGTTGGATCTCCTCCACTAGAGAACAATCATTCAGTTCATTCAGACAGTGGAACAGATTGATGCTTTTCTCTGCAGACAGATTCTCACTGAGCTTCTCCTTGATGTACTGGACTGTTTTCTGATTGGTCTGTGAGCTACTTCCTGTCTGTGTCAGCAGACCTCGTAGGAGACTCTGATTGGTCTGCAGTGAAAGACCCAGGAGGAAGCGGAGGAACAAGTCCAGGTGTCCATTTGGACTCTGTAAGGCCTTGTTCACAGCACTCTGGTAGAAGTGTAGGATCTCTTGTTTCAGACTTCTTGGAGGTTGTTTGTTGTTCTTCCAGCAGATTGAGTCCAGAGTTGATGAAGGTCAGATGGACATGAAGAGCAGCCAGAAACTCCTGAACACTCAGATGGATGAAGCAGAACACCTTGTCCTGGTACAGTCCTCTCTCCTCTTTAAAGATCTGTGTGAACACTCCTGAGTACACTGAGGCTGCTCTGATATCGATGCCACACTCTGTCAGGTCTGATTCATAGAAGATCAGGTTTCCTTTCTGCAGCTGATCAAAAGCCAGTTTTCCCAGAGACTCCATCATCTTCCTGCTCTCTGGACTCCAGTGTGGATCTGTCTCAGCTCCTCCATCATACTTGACCTTCTTCACTTTGGCCTGAACCACCAGGAAGTGGATGTACATCTCAGTCAGGGTCTTGGGCAGCTGTCCTCCCTCTCTGGTTTCCAGCACATCCTCCAGAACTGTAGCAGTGATCCAGCAGAAGACTGGGATGTGGCACATGATGTGGAGGCTTCGTGATGTCTTGATGTGGGAGATGATCCTGCTGGCCTGCTCCTCATCTCTGAATCTCTTCCTGAAGTACTCCTCCTTCTGTGGGTCAGTGAACCCTCTGACCTCTGTCACCATGCCAACACAGTCAGGAGGGATCTGATTGGCTGCTGCAGGTCGTGTGGTTATCCAGAGGCGAGCAGAGGGAAGCAGTTTCCCCCTGATGAGGTTTATCAGCAGCACATCCACTGAGGTGGACTTTCTAGGGTCAGTTAGGATTGTAGTTTTGTGGAAGTCCAGAGGAAGTCGACACTCATCCAGACCATCAAAGATGAACACAACCTGGAAGTCTTCAAAGCTGCAGATTCCTGCTTCTTTGGTTTCAGTAAAGAAGTGATGAACAAGTCCCACCAAGCTGAACTTTTCCTCTTTCAGCACATTCAGCTCTCTGAAAGTGAATGGAAATATGAACTGGATGTCCTGGTTGGCTTTGTCTTCAGCCCAGTCCAGGGTGTATTTCTGTGTTAAGACTGTTTTCCCAATGCCAG